ACGACCGCTGTTGGTAACCGGATTTTTGCGCGTCCACGAACGCTGCTAAATACGCGAGCCAACAGCATGCCGGTAAGTCGTTGAGACTAAGTACAGGAATTGTACTTCTCTTTCGTAAATAAAAATTTTTAGTAATCATCGTTTGAAAATAGGGGAAAAGGAAGCGTGGCTGCCGCGCGGGCCGGCGAGTAAAAGCAAGAAAGCTGAAGCTCCTTGAGGAACAGTTTCTGCAACAAGTGTTTGGACCAGAAATTGTGACCTTAGATAGTGAATCGGACACTGGGACGTCATCACGCGAAGTGCCGTTGTTCAGTTATGACATTTTGGACACAAGAGGTGCCATAAAAGTGTACAATCACCGAGAAGTGCCAGACGAAGTAGGGAAGTGCCAGGCGAAGTGTTGGTGGACTTTTTCCGGGCGTTCCGCGAGAACGAGTGGTCGTGTCCACCCTCGGTAAACGAATTCTGCCGTCAACATGCCATCGCAACCGGCTGGGACTCAGAAAACGACGCCGATGGAACTCCGTTCGAGACAGAGCTGATGAGTGAAGACGAAATGGCCATGGTGCAAAAACAACAAATCGAGAAGGAGAGGCGCCTTCGAGAGGAAGCCAGAATGCTTGACAGCGAGAGACGGGAGCTGGAGGAAGCTCGCCTACGGAACGAAGCGGTGTTAGCAAAAATCCGGAAAGCTGAAAAGAACCAAGGGGCGATACCGAAGAAAAGTGATATTCTCGAAGAACCACCCGCAGAGATGGAGGTGCCAAGTGTTGCCGTTGCCAGTGAATCCGTCAGTTACACCCTTAACGAAGCGGTAAAAATGGTGCCCGTTTTCAATGGTTCCTCACCGACTTTATTAACATTTACACGGGCGTGCAAGAGAGCCAGGCAGTTAATTCCCGCTCACGCCGAGGGAACTCTGGACTGGTTAAGCTTATTATTGGACACTTGAGTGGGCACGCCGCCGCCGCCGTGGAGGACGAAGAGATCGACACCGTCGCGGAGCTGTGCAACACCCTAAAGGACATCTTCGGACCACAACGAACAGTCGACTACTACCGCGGTGAATTAGCCAGTATCTACATGAAGAACGGTGAGCACGTTCTAGATTTCATAACGCGGGTAAAAGACTTGCGTGATGCGATCCCCGATTGCGTCCGAGGCGCGCCTAATATCGATGAAATTAACAATTTCGCGAAAAGCT